CCTGATGGGAAACCTTCCAATCAGTATGGTTGAAAAAATAAGAATAACTAAGAGCATTAATAAGGGAAGGCTCTTTCAGCCTCGGTCCTGTAAAATCATACTCAACTTATTCCAGTTTCGTTTCCTCTAGAACCTGTGTTGTGTCTGTACTGTGCATTGTGAGGTATATACCTCACTTATTAACCTCCTCTGTGTTACCAGGCAAAAAAGGCAGGGGTGGGGCTGGAGAGATGGCTCAGCGGTTAAGAGCACTGGCTGCTCTTGCAAAGGACCTGGGTTTGATTCCCAGCACCAACATGGTGGCTGACTACCATCCATAACTCCAGTTCCAGGGGATCCAAAGTCCTCTTCTGACCTCTGCGGGCATTGTACATCATGGCTGCACCTACCTACATGCAGGCAATACACTCATACACATAAAATAAATATATTTTTTAAAAGGCAGTGGCAAGCATCAAAATTAATGGTGACAAGGCAGCAAGTGATCTCTTTTGCTCTAGCCTTCAATAACTCAGACATCAATCAGTATTAAGGTTATAGAAGTAAAATCAGTCAAGAACAACGCTTTGATGACCTTTGCATTGTTTATATCTTCTCATCACTGGACCAAGTTTGAACATGACTGCTAATGGATATCTTTAGCTGCACAAGATACTGCTAATAGACCTTACTCTAGCTGGAAAGACACTTAAGACTTTTGTTTGTAATGCAGCCGTGAAGGCAAGCAGAGCTGAGAGGAGCTGTTTGATGAAGAATCTCTAAATCTTGACCTGGCTTTGAGATTGTTGATCTTTGTGATTCCCACGTAACCATCCATCCATTCATTATTTATTCAATGAATATTCATTGAATGTCAATCACAGTCAAACCAGACTCTGTTTAATAAAAGAGTATTTAAAATAGATATACATTCTAGCTGTCATGCAGGGGAACAGGTAGATAGTAAATATATAAATAAAAATAAATATATGACTACAATTTGGATTAAGAGAACAGAAGAAGATAAAGAAGGCACAACTGAAGAAACTAGTAGAGACAATCAGAGAAGTTATCTCTTGAGTGCTAATGTTTAGACTAAGACTTAGGATGAGGTTAGCTCTGTGAAAAGCAGAATATAGGGATAGAGCACTTGTGAAGGACGTCTCCATGGAAGGGACTTGGGATAGTGCAGCATGGATATAGCTCAGTTTGGCTGAAGCCTGTGGCTAGATCCGCAGAGGACCATGGTGGTGTTGGAGTATGGGTTGGAGTCAGCGTATGCTGGCCTCATCAAGGCTGGGTAAGGAGCTTAGATTGAATTCTGCACAGGAGTACCCATGTTTGAGAATGGCATGCTGTGGGAATAATTATTACAGATCACTTGGGCGGTTGTTTCAATTGGACAAGTAGAGGAAGGAGTCAGTCCTAAGGCCATTTAGAGTAGTTAAGTTAAAAAACAGGCCCTGGTCTATGGCTGGGGAGGTGAGAACACATATTTGAGTCTAACTGGCAAAAAATGATATTAAGTAGAGTTGAAAACTACTCAAATGTTCTTCTTTTCACACACATACACACATACAATATATACATTACATATGGATTTTTCTAAAAAGGCTCTGGCCAGTATTGGGGTAGGATAGAATGCATTCTATTTTGAGTTACTATCACTCTGTACGACCTTATTTGTTTGAGGTATTTAGGTTTGTTTCCTCTTCTTCTGCTATCTCCGTGGCTTCTAATTGTATCGTGCATGCACAGAGGTGGAAATGAGAGGTTTGCATGTCCTTGCAGTTGCTTGAGGGTTCCTATGTGTTCCCCTGGGCTCAGTGTTGTGCTGTGGAGCATCTGGTCTAGTCTGCTGTTGTCCTGGTGCTGATAAGTGATGGAATTGCTGAGATTGCACCTTGTTTTCTTGCCTCGGCCAGAACCTCTTGGATCTCTTTGCTGACTGAGCTTCACCTTGGGTCTCATTATATCCTCTGTTTAGTTTCTGATGAGGCTGCAGCACATCTGTGTTAGCCATCTCCACATATACATGAAATCACCCTACCAGCTTCATCCAGGTCTCCCCACCACTTCCTCCGGTTTCAGTTTGAATGGGGAACCTGAGGCACCGGAAGCACAACTGTTTACTTCCCCTTTGTCTCCATTGAGGCAGGAGAAAGGGAGGATTTTCAACTTCTGCAGGATGAACATTCAGCTTGTCTTCAAAGAACAGCAAGCCTTATGGTCCTGTTGTCATTTGTGTCTCTTTCTGTATTGTGAAGACATTAACTTGATCCGAGTCAACAAGACTGCCTGTTCATGGGCTTTGAGATTAAAATGCATTGATTTAGCTCTTCAGAATATTGTTCCTGTCCCCCTTTGTGTTTGTACACATATCCAAGTTGTCAGCCCTAGCATTAAGTAGAGTCATTATTTTATGTAGTTATAGTTCATCTCTTTGTTTGCTGAGTGATCTCCATTCTTATAGCAGATTATTAAAGGCTTTCATGATGTGACCTCACGCTAGCCTCTCTTGTCTTGTCTTTGGTGGCTTTTCTTCCTGTGGTCTAGGATCTAGTCAAATCAGGAACCTCAGTGTTTCTCGAGTAAAGTGTAATTCTTTCCCACCTTGACACTCTGGTTTACATGAAGCTTCTCTAATAAAATGCATCCCTTTTCTCTTTTCCCTCTTCCTGAATTTGAAGAATTTAAATTGTACACATTCTTTAAGCTCTGACTCTCCTACTACTTCTAAGGTGAAGCCTCGGAGTCTTCCAACTTGGAGCAGCTGCTAGTTCCTCTGAGTTCACAGGCTAATTTGCCTTTATCGTGGACCTAATTATAATGTTTTATGTTATTAGTAGAGTGCATGTGTGCCTTTTCTTCTTCTAGATTAGAAGCTTCTTGAGAGCAAAATGGAGACTCAGCCACATGCTGACTACTCACCAAACTGTCACCTGTGTCGCCTGTCACCTCTAGCACACAAAAGATACTTGACAAATAATGAGTGTCACATAAATCTTTCTAATCCTCTCATTAAACCTTTGGAACAAGTACAGAGGTGTTATTTTTCCCAACACTGATGGCCTTTTTCTATTAAATTTTCATACAGACCCTTTGGCCTGGGCTCTACTGAGCTGTGGGAATCAGATTTCTCAACCACTTCTCCCGGGCCATGAAGTAGAATGTTGTTATATTTACAGGAGTTTTGTGGAGCACCCCAAACATGGTGCAATTGTATGTCAGAAACCACTATCATAAATGAGTTGGACAGGATAAGCCAACTTGAAAGAGAAAATAAAATATTATAACCCCAACTTGAAAAGAATATATGACGTGTGGTTTATTACTGGGGATTATAGAGGAAGAAAGAACTGATTTTAAGGCAAACACAGAGAAGCAGTGACACTCTTTAAAATCCATACAGTATTCACATGGCAGACATTGGACTTCAGAAAGCCAAACCTTAAGGCTCCTGCTCTGGTCTATAAAATAGAAGTAAAATTGCTTTAGCTGCAGTATTATTAGTGCACCATTCTAGAGGCAAGGAAGGTTTAGAGAGAAAAATAACCTTGAAGGCAGCATGGCTCTTTCAAGTCAGAGTCTGTTTGTCAGACTCTCATATTGCATTTTAAAGACATCTTAAAGGCTGTGGCTTTGGGAAATTCCACTCTGATGAAGTGAGAAGGAAGAGGGACTAGGAAAGAGTTGCAGCATCACAGAATCGAAAACGACTTTAGTTGCCTTAGTGATAAGTTCTGCAGTTAGCAGAAATCTGAAGCTAGACTTAAACAATAAGATGTCTTTATTCCTAGAGTTTCATTGAGAGTGAGTGCCTTTCCTTCTTTCTGAGCCTCCCAGCCCTCACCCCAGCCTCTGTTGCTTGATTATAGCAAGTCATTAACATCTGGTTCAGACACAAGGTATCAAAATGCTTCCTCATGGCCAAGGCCGAAGGCAAACGCTAGGGCTCATGTGGAATATGTAGGTCAGGTTTTTTCTAGTCTAGAAATATGAAGGTAATGTAACAGCCATGGCAGACTTGCTGGGACTAAGGATGCAGTGGAGAGGGACTGATTACTAAGTAAAGGTTAACACAGATGGCTTCTGGGGACCGGGCCAAGGCCTCAGTGTAATACAAGTGGATATGCTGGTTTTGTTCAGCCTGTAAAGCTGCCTCTTTGTTCATTTTGATTTACTTCTAGGTCTTAGAGACTGAATGAGATTTGTTGCTTGCTACCCCATTTGGTCTCATATTTATAGTTTTTTTTCTGCCCTTTGTGATAAAACCTGGCAAAAATTAGGCCAGGTGTGGTGGCATTCACCTTTAGTCCCAGAACTTGGTAGGTGGATCTCTGTGAGATCGAGGCCAGCCTGGTAGTATACTTAGAGAGTACCAGGCCAGCTGGAACCCTGTCTCAAAAAACAAACAAATGAAAACAAACAGCAACAACAAAAATAGAGCTGATTTTTGTCTTTTCCACCAACGTTCCAAATACTAAATGAGCAATTCCTGGTGGCAGGGAAGGCATACGTTATATTGAATGGGAAATACAGGTAGTTATTTGGCTCTTTCTGTCTGAAGCTGATCACCCAGTGGCCTCATTCTACCTGACTAAAGAGCTGAATGCATCCATCCATCCATTAGGCATTCACTTGCTCAGCCTTCATTCAACAGCATTTCTAGAGTGCCTCCTGGGTGTCAGGTCCACAGACCCGACCACTCTCTGGCTTCTTGTTTTTGTGTCAATCCTCGAAAGTGATTTATCTACACTTTGGGGCAAGAATGGAGAGTAGAGGAGAGATCGCAGTCACATGCAGGGCAAACCTTGGTTGTAAGAGAGAACTGAGTTACACATCTGTGGGCCAGGCCCAAGTCCTATGTCAAACTGCAGTTTAAACCTCAAACTAAAAGGAAACTGAATGAAAACAACAGCTGCTATTAATAGAGTGATTTTTGTTAATTTTCTAGGAGCAATGCAAGAAAGCGTATCAGTTAATATGAAAACCATTCATATTTATTTGTTTGTTTCTAGATCACCAGATTAAAAATTGACCGAAACCCTTTCGCTAAAGGCTTCAGAGATTCTGGGAGAAACAGGTAAGAATACATCAAGAAAAGACTCGCTGACTTTTTCCATATGAAATTACTTTTCCCACTTCCCATTAGTGGTGGCCCTTAGCTCCCAATTCCTGTTCTGCAATTGCATTCACTCAGAGAAAGAGAAATGGATGGCTTATCCAAGAATCCCAAAGTCCCCTCCCACAAAAGGCACATCTTCCAAATTCTACGCTACACAGTCTAAACTACCAGAACAAATCCTTCATGCTGTTTTACCCCCTCCATCCTGCTTAGTGACTCAGCCATGTGAAACCAGCCACACGGTAATTCATTGTTATCCATAGACTGGCATGTTTTTCTGGAAGCTGAAGATGCTTATAGAAGCTGCGGTAATGGCGCATATATTTTGCATTTCTGATGAATAAAAGATTTCAGAAAGTTACTACCTTTATGAGTTGAAATTTGTGTAAACAAATTTAATCATTTTACTCCTAGGAAACAGTCTCCAATTCACATAGATTTCTGGCTTTAAGGGCAGTTTCTGGAGTACCAGCTTGCTTTATAAACTGCACCATCAGTACCAGGAGTTGCAGATGTTCATAAGACCTTTACTCCTGTTGTTAAATGCTTTGGAGATTGTGCTGTTTTTCTGGCTGATAATGTTTTCTTCTCTCTCAATTTTTTTCCTATATAAAATTAAATCTGTTATCTGTGGCACGTTAGGAAGCAACTGAGATGCTGGGGAAACCAGACATCTCTAAGGTTACGCAGTCAGGCAATTTCATCTTATACAGACAATACTGAATCAGCAAGTGTGTCGCATATGTCTGGTATTGTGTACAGGCTTCACAATTGTTGACTTTAATCAGACATCAGACATCTTTCATAGTTTGCAGGCGTTTCTTTACATCTGGATGACAGATTGTCAGGAGTAATCTTTGGTATTCTCTCCGCAACAGCTTTGGATAAACTAAAAATTTATATTTAGAACTACTTCTTGAAATATGTGATGCATTATACAGTCACGCACCACATAACAATGTTTTCAGCAATAACAGATCCTGTGCGTTGTGGTGTGTACCTCACAGTGAAGGTGTATAATAGGCACGTTGTCTAGATTTACTTAAGGACATTCTATAATGTTTACACAATGACTAAATTGCTTAAAAACACATTCCTCAGAATGTGTCCTGTGAAGTGACACTACATAGATTTATGCTACACATCACTGGGAGTGATCATTTCTTCTAGAAAATATTTTATGAAAGCACTTCTTTATCAAACTTTTACTGTATATTCAACATATATTTAGATTTCTGTAAAATTTTATTTACCTCAGAAACCTTAAGGTCACATCCTTTGAGTAATGTAAAATTTTCTTAAGTTTCCAGTTTTTAGAGAACAGCATTGCAAAGTGTTCTAGGTCAATCATCAGTGGTAGACTACACTAGAACTCAGTGAGCAGGTGAACTCCTGATCAAATGCTTTCTGATATCATGAGTCTTTGTTTAAAAGAAGACAAAGGCCTTCATTTGCAAAGCTCAGCCAAGAAAGAGCAAGCACATAGTCATTCTACTTCAGAAATCCTTCTTACAGTTCAGGTCACCAAAAGGTTTTCTCCCATCCAGGTGGGCTTCCTGATGGCCTAGTTAATGATAGGGTGACGAAGTATAGCAGGACACTCATGGTAGGCAGTGGTATTTAAGATGTGCAGCTTGTAGTCCATGGATGGACTTCCAGGTTTCTCTAAACTCATAACATTGGAAGTAAAATTGTGTATATGAGCAGATTTACAGTAAGCCTGTAGCTTTCTCCAGATTTTTAGAGAGTTTCATATTCCAACTTAAGAATTTCTACTCTATACCCAACTATCTATCTCTACGACCAAATCTTCCAGTGTTATTTATTCAGCTATTTCTTTTTCCTTTTTTTAAATAGCATTGTGTATTGTTTTCCCTTTCCCCTTGCCTGTTTCTTTCATTGGAGTCCTTGTTTTTCAGAGGATTAGGCCAAGTTTTGATAAGTACCTTTAAAAAAATTAAATTACTTAGGAGATAGAGTGGGAATGGAGTCACTTCTTTAGGGTGGCCAGGGACAGTGTCTCTGTAAGATGCTGTGACCGAGGCAAGGGCAATTCCCAGAAAGAGGAATTAGAAAGTGGAAGGGCAGAGGTGTGCTAGGTATATTTGCGTATCAGGGAGGCCCTGTGGCTACACAACATGACCCTGCTCAAACCCGTGTCTGAACAGCATGAAATGGGAGGTGCAGAGGTATGGCAAAATAGCTTATGTGACCAACATTCAACCTATGTCTGGAAATTCAAGCCCGCTTTCACCTTGAGGCTAAGATTCCCCATGCTGAAAGATTTGCCATTGGCCAGGAAGTTTTGACGACCTCTTAGCTGAAGTGCTGAGGTGAGGTCTTCCGTGAGGCTGGGCAATGTGATGCTGCTCAGGGCAGACAGTTATGTGTCTGTCCTCGCTGCTAGGTTGCTCTTCTTTGTGAGGATTCCTTGTAAACATAACTGTGGATTGCATTAGCCCATTTTAGTGATTATTCCATTTCTTTTTTTCTAATGGTATGACAATTCTTTTTTATGTTATGTCAAAGTCTGCAAGCCACACAAAGAATGACACATTTAAACAGAAAGAAATGCTGTGGCCCCAATTTGATCATTCTATATTATATACTCATATTGACATTGACTTATTACACTGAGCCACATACCTAGGTATGATATTATGTGTCAATTAAAAAATTCAGAAAACCCTGCAGGTTGCTTTAAGTGCCATTAATAATTGTCTCCGCTAACTGTGAATACACCTTCCCCGGCCTATCCTTTGTTTTGGTCTCCTACCTTCAAATCCTGTGTTTTACAAATGAAGAAATGGAGGCTTGGAGGGATTACGACTTTGCCACTATCACAGCATATACACTGATGAACCCCTGAGTCTGCCTGACTTCAGAGCTGTATGTTCTGATTTGTTGTGCTGGCAGCTCTACTTAATTCGTCTTCAACAGACACCGAGGACAGAACATCCAAGTCACCCAGAACTGTTTCTTGTCAGATGAAGCCACCTGCGCGTTCTCAGCCCATTTTTGTAGATCCTTCTTCACCATCTAAGTCACAGCCCCTTGTAAACAAGGGTCCCCTAGCTGAAGACAGGAAACTAGGCTGACTTTTCTAGGAGGTGAAGCGCCGATGCACTCACGCAGGGGTTATATGTGTCACATGGGTGAGGATGAACAGCTTCCTTCTCTAGCACTCTGGAAAACGAGATTACAACTGACTTGCATGGCAAGTATAAGGCTTTTTGTATTTCCCTTTTCCAAAAGTTCAAAATGTCTTTATCATCATTAGCTGCTTAGTGATTAATTCTCATTAGCCACCTGCAGGATCTGATGAGGACAAGGACTTTTAATGTCATCACAGAGGTGGGAAAGATGGATGGATGAGGATACAGAGAATTATTTGCAAATCTTCTGGAACCTGATGGTTCTAGGCTAGTCTCAGAACCCAGTTTGCCACCTACCTAGCACCTCATTTGTGGCCTTTCTCATGCTAACAGAGTTCTTACAACTGGAGTTCTTCTCCATGCATTTTAGACACCAAGTGATTCATGCAGAGGAGCATGGCTTGATGAGTTGCATATAAATGTTCCCCAAACATACGGATTACATTTCCTTTAAAAACACATGGGCTTAAAAATTACGGGGGAAAGTGCTTGGCCAATGTTTTTTGGTTTCACAGAACACAAAACATTTGTGGAATACTTTGGAGTTATAGAGTTTGCCAAACCTCAAACCAAAACACGTTCAGGTTTGTCGATCTCAATCCATCCCAGCGCAATCCAGAGGCTGGTAAGGGGACGGGTGAGAGGAAAGATGGAGAGGATGCAGCCACTCACTGCACTATCCTCTAACACTTTGTGGCAATCTCTGAGCCTGTGAGGCTCTCACACTGAGTGCCATCAGTGAGGCCCAGCAGACAGGCATCCTCTGGCATACACAGAAGAGTGGCTGAGGGCTCTAGGTGCCACTCTTTGTATTTTTATTGTAGGCGATTTCTAGGAACAAGTGGTTCGGGTTTCCAGCTCCTTCCCTTCTTTCTCTGGGAACCAATGACTCTTCTGATCACTGGATCTAGAAGGAAGCCACCTCAGGACCTGTTTGTATACAGAGTGCACATTCCAGGTTTCCTGTAGGATAGTAAGCTTTGCAGAGGAGGCTGTGGATGTCAGGAATCAGCTTCTTTCAGGGGAGCTCTGGTTCTCTCATTCAGACCCACACTTGGGCCATGATCTCCATTTTTGTAAGTCATAAAATTGGTATTTTGGTGTCCACAGCGTTAGGCTCCTATATCTTTCTTATTGATTTCAACCGCAGAATCAGCTTGGATGAAGAAAAGAGGGAATAGAGCTACTGGCTCATCTAGAACCCAAGCAGGAGTTCCAGTGAGTTCATATTGCCAGTCCTGTGATGTCACCATCATCTGAACCTATCATAGTTCTCCCCACCCCCAGCCTGAAACCTGGTCTCCAACTTTGAACTCAAGGATTCTTTGTGCCTTAAGCCTCTTAAGTGGCAGATGTACAGGTGGGCCCAACAGACTGGGTTTCCCTGTTTCCTTAGGAGGTGTCAGGCAAGTGCGTTAACATTATGGACTATGACGAAGAGTAGTGGCTATTCCTTTTGGAGCCCAGGCACTGACAGATTGAGCTGCAAGTCATTTTCTCTACAATGGGATGGAAAACATATTTATTTCGAAGTTGTACTGCATCTAGATTTCTCAAAAATTGTGTAGCTCAAATCTGGTTTGAGTGAAGGTCAAGATTTATTCACTTTGAGTCAGGCCCTGTCCCAGGTCACAGCCTTCATAACTAAATATGAGAGACTTTCCCTACCAGCGTCAGACAACAATGCCTTCCTGCTGCTAGGGGAGCATTAGATTCCTTCAGCTTGAAATTATCTTGTGTTTTGTGTTCGGTGTGCCTAGGCTCTGCTCCGTGTTAGAACGTAAGCTCCTGGAAACTTGGACT